GCTTTGTTATTGTACTCTTTGATAGTCTAGTATGGTAACAATATCCGACTGCTACAATCATCAACTTTACAAAGGAGCTCTAAATTTCTCTCAGGTTTTATGAATCCCGACTTCGTTCTTTTTTTTTTTTTTAATGTCAACAATCTTCTTTAGACCAATACTGCAATATCTGCGAGATTCCATGTCATTTTGCCCCCTAGTGGCACAGCGGTATGTCTGCGGATTTACAACGATTACAATATTTAATCCAATGAATTCAAAAATCAATCACATAAATAATTACTTTCTCTTTTCTATTTTCTTAGCCCCCAGTGCCACAGCGGTATTTATGCGGACTTACAACGCTAAAAATCGGGTTTCGATACCCGTGGTGGGCAAAACACAGATAGTCCATTGTGTAGCTTTGTACATAACTACAAACAACAATCTATTTTCTTAATATAGATAGTTTCCAAAGCTAGGATTAATCAATGTTTGCTTCGTTCATGATCTACGTAAAACAACGACATTTGTTTTGAAAACACACACAACACATACTTACAAAATAGAACATAATTGTATTATATCAAAATTACGTGCCATAGTACAACAACGTTTCTTACTAAAATGCCCATATTTTGTTTTAGTCGATAATTCTCAAAATGTGAAGAGTTAGGTGATGACTTGCACCTTGTATTAACAGATGATATGTGTGTGTATTATTCAAAACAACGTTATTTTTCGCACTTCCTAAGTTCAACACAATGTACTTGAATTCCATATGCACTAGGTATATAAAAAAATTCATTACCTGTCAACACTATTGCGTTTCTATCTAAGTATACTTTAGGTAAACATTAAGCCCGTCTCGATTAACTCTTGCAAAATTTAAATATTAAAACAATAGAATAGTAAAAGATGTTGGTTATGAAAATAATAACCAAATCTTATTATTTCTAATATTAAGGTGATAATTGTCAAGTCATTATCGATATCATTTCCAGACCCTGAATTTTTTGTGGTTTAAAGCAAAGCAACATTGGACTATTTGATTTGTCCACCGCGGTGAATCGAACTCTAGATTTTAGGTTTATATGTCCGAAAACTTACCGCTAACCCACCGGGGGTTTTAATCATGAACACGATAAATGGATGTCACCTGAGGTATCGAGATGAGTCAAATGTTGCTACCACAAATTGTTGTTATCAATATAGAAATCTCAACAGAAACCTCATATAAACAGCTTATTAAGTCGTCTCTAATTTAGACTAGAGGAAAGGCAATTATTATAATTAGTCAACACCACCCACTGCAAACTATTGGACTACTCTTTACCAACAAAAAATGGGGTTAACTGTCACATTATAACGCTCCCATGGGTGAAAGAGCGAATATGTTGGTGAAGAGATTCGAACCCGTAGATTGCGAATCGAACGCCCTAACCACAAAGCCATGCCAGGCCCCAGTATTCGAACGTATAATAAAAAGTCAATAACCTTCTTACTCTTAAACTCGAGTTTCCAGGTTGTCCCAAAGGTTGATTGCCATAGACTGAATGTGTACGCATGTTTACAGAATATGCTCAAAATGTCCTCATTTCAAAATCGATACAGTACTGAAAACGTTCAATCCAGATAATCTCCACACGTTCATCAATGTCCAGTGCCATTATCTAAAACAACAGGCAAAGAAACAAGAAAAGTAATGTTAAAGTGTTAGCTTCTTTCGATGCAACAACGGCTTCTGGAACAACCTCTAGAAAGATCTGTTCTAATCACCACAGTCAGACAAGCATTACACTAACATAGTTTTTCTTCTCCGCAACACCAAAGTCTTAACATTGAACAAAATAGGCCCTATGTTTCCGATCCAAAGTGATTTATTCACATTTATAATTCTGGTAACACATTGTCACATACTCGATATTCACCATGTTTGTCAAGACACACACACAGAATACCCGGTTGAACTTTAACTTGAGCTGTTCTTTTTTCAGCCATGACACTTAAATCATATTTACGTGTGAAGCTATATAAACTAGTTTCTTACTGCTGAGCTTCACAATAGTTGTTCTATTTATTATAATTATTAGGTATATTTAAAGCTTAACTTGAATAGTCTAGAATGTTTTTTGTTTTTATTTATTTATGGAGTTAAAGTAGTCCTATCATTACTTTTCATTATAGCGATCTTGTACCATTTTTGTCACTAAAGCGTTTTGACAAACTAATTACAAAAAATTAAAAAAAGTTAAGTTTAAAATATGATAACAATTTTAAATCAGTTATTTGAAAAATGCTTAGTGGAATATTTCACCTTATAACAAAGTAAACAACTTCCTGAACATCAAAGAAATTTCTGACATCAAAATTCAGTTTCTTTTTTTAAGCATATCAAGCACTGCAGGGTGACTTTTCCCTTCTCTAGGTTTTTTTGCTTAGTTAAGTAGGTTTTTTGTCATTTTTCTTTAGGGCCGCCTGTAACGAAACGTGCTATATTTCCGTTTATGAAATCATGGACTAATCTGTTTATAACACTGCATAAATAATATCTATAAATCATAAAAATATGATGTATTTTAATTACGAATTAATATACATTTCTGATCAAAGCAAAGTACCTAAATAGATCAGAATTAAACATTAACCTAGTAACGAATATAGCTAATTTAATCTACTATTCTTACTTTTTACTTTATAGCGTTTCTATACGCAACAAAGCGGAGGCCTTTGGTTAGGTCCTTTAGTGGCGTTAAGTATGAGGGCTTATAATGCTAAAAATCGGTTTTCAATAACCGTGGTAGGTTTAGCACAGACACCCCATTGTGCAGCTTTGCGCTTAACAACAAATAAACTCTTTAGTAAGTGCCCTCTTGATTTTAGTTTATAGTTGTCATCTGTAAGGTCTTATATACTTTTATCAGTTATTAATACCTATCATACCAGGTTGTTAACGCTCAGTAAACAACTACTTTGAAAAAGCAGGAGAGTGATCCAGTGAATCTTTGGTTAATGGTGGCCATTTGGATAAAACTATATTTCTAGATCGTGATACTAATTCGTTCACTACTGGCTTACAGTTAAACTAAAAGTAACCAGAAAGAAACCTTTTAAGTAAAGTTTCGTTTGTATATAATAAACTTCTCAGTTATCCAATCTAGTAGTTTTGTACGCACACCAACCAGTTCTGACTGAAGTTGGCCTCATTGTCTTCTTTGTTACTTTTATTTCCCCTGGACATTATTGTAATAGAACAACACATATCAGAGGTCTTGCAAACGTAACAAACTCATACCCGTGGTGAGTAGAGCACAGATAGCCCATTGTGCAGCTATCTGTACGTACACAAATTCGTATTAACATGTACAAAACGAGACCCAACTCCACGATATTCAACAACTCTATAAACATCCGAAGACTTTTGGCAATAAAAGGAAAACGATCTTTACTTTCCAAATTATAATAATGATAACTTTTTATTTCACCCAACGTTTCGCCATTTCGGCTTCATCGGGGCTGGTAGTGAATGGCGAAACGTTGGCTGAAATAAAAATATTTTATTATTAGCTGGAGAATAAAGGTCGTTTTCTTTTCTAAATTTATTGCCAAAATGTCTAAATCCCTCCAGAATGCACTACAATTTCTGAAAAACAATAAAATTTCTGAAGATTTTATTTGAATCGTTAACCATATGAATAGTTGAATTATTTTCTAACGAAAACTTTTTTCAGCTTTTAAACTTGATTAAATACTTTAAACCTTCATTATGACATGGAAAGCAATAAATCCATTAGACCACCAGAAAAAAATAATGGATCCTTATTAATAAGTCTAAATGAGTGTTTAAGTGAAAGAAGATGTTAAACTTTATTCTGTAGGTTTTAGTCCAGACGGATTAAATACTCTAAAGAAAAATCGCCTTGATTTATTGGAGAAAAATAGTCTAAGTTCTTTTTATGAACTAAAAGTAAACTTGATTATGAATTAACTTCATGTACTATATCAACCTCTTTTTAACGAATAGGCTATTGGGTAACGTGAAAACCACATAACGTTTATTGCCCGGATGTGATTCACGATGACTCAGTAGTGATGACCTATATGATGGTTTAATTCAGAGTCACCATCTTTTCAAATATTAACGGTAAATATTATAATTAGTTACATAATTAGATAATTATAAGTGCTGAGTTTACAAATACAGATAATGCCTAAGTGACAGTACCGTAACTTTTACATTGATGAGAAGTGCTAATGACTTGGGTGGTTAACCATAATGTGGTTACCATTGGCCAAATCCTAGTAGAAAACTATTTTGTTACAATACGTTTCCGAAGGCTTATAGGAATATATGATTAATCCAGGATAATTGGTATATCCAACACAATAATAGTACAAGGTTTCCACTCCTTTGTAAAGGGGTTTGCTTTGCTTGTCTAATAAATACCCGTGACGATTTTAGACGCTGTAGTGGTACCTTCCGGATGTTGCCCTTACGGTTTCCGTGTTTGAGTTTCCTGTAGTTTTTTAAAAACATAATAATAAATAACTTTACTGCTCGAAAATCAGGACGTCCAGATATAATAACTTCATTTTGGTAACATGGCCAAAACTATAGACTACGTGTCGATCAACGATTGGTGCCAAAAACCCTCGAGGAGTGTAATATCACTTCCGTTTTGTGGCATAAAACCGATAACCTTTTACAGTGGGCTCCAATAGTGGTGGCCTGATAGTCAACAGGGGATAAAGAGGTGTCATTATTTATGTTATTAATATTCTTTACAAAGAAAATATGCATATATCATATGACAATTACAATAAGGGAAGTACGATGTCACAATAACTGGACACAGGCAGCCAATTGAGAGAAATGCTGGCTGTCACGTGATCTAATGAGGACTGTTGGACGTTTCTCTTCGATAGTTATCATACAAAACTAGCTACAACGATCAGCCAGAGCATACTTGTAGATTGGCACTTAGGCCAATATTTTGAATTCTTCGGAGATTTCCCGCGAACGTTGCAGTTTTATTTCAAGGAAATTATTAACTTAGCTCACATTGTTTGAAAATCTGTTCTAAATGGTAAGAAATGTAAGCTTGTTGTGTTTTTAGTTGTTGTTGTTTAAATATAAGAAAATATATTAAAAAAAATTGCAAACGAAATGAAAATATGAGTATGCATATGGGAGTGTATATTAATTTCATATAATTAGATTGTGTAACGTTTTTGTTAATTTTTTTATACATTCACTGGATAGTTTTTTAAACTTTTTATCAGTATATTTAGAGTGTAGATAAATTATATAAAGTTAGGTTAAACACATACAAGACAATATCATCTATATGAGCACCACATTTTTACTGAATACATCCGTGTTATTGTTAAGAAGTAGTAAGATGCACTTGAAGAAGATATGATCTTGAAATAAATGAAAGGCTGAGTTAAGAACAAAAGATATTCAAAAACGCATAACTATCTGAAACTCAAACTGCATTCAATAATATCTGTTATAAAAGGTTCGTGACTAATAATTAGCTCAGTAGATAAATATTCTGATTTTGGTTTCAACTTGAATGGTTTCTTAGTAACCACTTAAAGATTCCATTATTGTTACTTAATTTCTATGTTTTTGTCAGTACTTAAATGACAAATAGTTGAAAATTGCGCTTGCTCCATAGAACATCTCTAACTTTAATTTAGTAATATTGTGATGTCAGCACTAAGGCAGCCTTTACTTAATTTCTATGCTTTTGTCAGTACTTAACTGACAAACAGTTGAAAATTGCGCTTGCTCCATAGAACATCTCTAACTTTAATTTCGTAATATTGTGATGTTAGCACTAGGACAGCCTTTGAAATCTACAATTACAAAAAATATTTGTTATTTATATTTTATCATTAAGGAATTGGGCCCTTATGTTTTCTGTACTTAACATTTTTGCCATTGTTTTTAAGAAAATTATAATTTTTTTCAAAGAAAAACCTTTAATACGTTAAACATTTGGCATGGCCCAGTGGTTAAAGCACTTGACTCGCGAGCTCGAATCCTTTCACCGAACATGCAAGTTGAGTAACCAGAGAGTTGTCGGTACTTGACGTTGACTTGCTACCTTCCCTCTAGTATATCACTTCACAGTTATGAACGGCTAGTGCAGATAGCCCTCGAGCGGCTTTGCGCGAAATTCAACAAAGAAACTAATTCATTCAAAAACGACAACAACAACATTGTGCCAAATTAGTTGCAAAATTACTTATGAAGTTATCTTTGAGAAAACAGTATAAAGGTTATATATTATGCTATTGACAAAGGGTGACTCTCCCCATCGTCAAAGTTGGTGATGAACGAAGAAACAAATATTATTCTAAAGAAAACTTTTAACAGCTCTTTGTTCTGATCTTTACTTAACGATAGAATTGCCATAGTAACAGATAAAAGATATTCTTTCTGTGAATTTACTAAGATGAACTAAATATTACTAAATATTTGGAGTCAAACACGATATTTGATCATATTTATTGAACTTAAAATGCATATACAAAGCTTAAGGCAGTAACTGTATCATTTATTTTGTGAGGAATCATTGTGTACATATGCGTGTATACATCACATCAGCACCAGGTGTTAAAGACATATTTTATTTTGCTTATAATAGCGATGCTAATGAGAGAGTTAGCGATCTTACCGATCTTGAATAGAACCCACACTGACGTGGTAATTTAAATTCTCTCAGGAGCAATTATTAATCAACTTACGAGTCTCTGTAATTAACTAGCGAATATTTGCCTGTAATGGGTAAGCCATATGCTACCATCTGAAGTTTGTGGCTCAATATAATGTATATCTTTTTGTATATTTATTGATAATTAGAATTTAACTTTAAATTAAGTTATAAAAGTGTTTTGTGCGAGTCACCGTGGAACAATCATAAAAAATATACTTGTACATTACGAATACAGACGTACATACAATACAGAGTCTATGTCAGATAATTTAGTTATAATGAAATGGTGCTAAACTCTGTATTGATTTACGCGTTTTTTTTTCTTTAATGCTGTAATTATTGTAAACAGAGACGTTTAGACAAGCTTATACGTTCAAATAAATTTGGGTTTTTAAGTTTTACTGATTAATTATTAGAGTATTTGTAACTGATACTGCAAAGATAATAAAAATGTGTAAAATCGTTTACCAATGAGCTTATTCTAGAAAATTTATCTTTGTTTTAGTAACATTGTTTAATTTTAAACCTATCAAGTTCGGAAAGTGGTAGGTAAATTGAAAACTTAATGGTAATATTTTTATTATGTGAAGCGAGTTCCGTATATTTGTATTTAGAAGAATGTTGGTTTCAACTTCTCGGCATTCAATTTGAATTGTTAGTTTTATTAATATAATTTAGGATCCACTGTGACAAAAATGTTGAAAGTGTATTGTTTCTACTGAAAGACAAGCTTTTCTTTTAACACAATATAGTATTGTATTAACGAGAGCTTTTACATTAGATGTTTTTATTAGAGCATTTCTAACTTTACAATCAAATAGTTTTGAACACTATCCAAGCTAATCACGATTTGCAAATTAGCAAAAAAGGTTTAGCACTTAATCATATTAATATCGTCTAAGTAACAACTACTCAACTGTCTAGCATAAGAGCAATACACTTGCTTTTCAACTAGCTTTAGTAAAATGTTTTAATAAGGGCGTGAGTTAATCGTTGATATCTTTTGCTGTAACTGTTTCTTTGCAGCTATCTCATCTGCTACTTTGGATTACCCTATTGTCCACGGTAACTCTCGGGAAAGTCATCCACCGACCTGTAGGTCGTGGGATCCGAGAGTTTAGTGGTTATCCTGAGACAGAAGCTATGGGTGTTGGATCTCCTGGTAAGCATTGAGCAAAAAAAAAAAACTATCAACTTTTGATTAAATAACGTAAACGATCATAGAGTTTGTTAGTTGCAACAACATTTTGTGTTCATAAGTTTCTAAAACACTGTTCTTTTAGTCAACATACTGATAAGCCTAATTGTGTATAAAATTCCAGTTACTATAGAAACTATACCATCTCAACAGGCGAATCTCATGAAATCTCTTTTGGGTAATAAACGATGCGTTCCTGCATTACATTTCAAATATTTAGTACTTTTCTCTTAGATTTTGTACAACAATGGCACATGCTGCTGTTCCACGAACAACAACAACAAAAAAATGATAATAAATAAATAAATAAATAATATTCAATTCGCTTCTAAAATAAACAAATTCGTTCGAGAAATTATGATCATGTTTAAAATGCCAGTACATTTTCTGGTTACTTCCGTTTGTTTGCTGTTATGCACAAAGCTAGACAATAGTCTATCTGTGCTCTGCCGAACGCAGGTATTGAAACCCAATTTTTAACGTTACAATCCCTTAGACTTACTGCTGAGCCACCGAGAGGCTCAGTTGCTTCTGTGTGTTACGTTTATTTGTGTATTAATATGTTCAACTGGGGCTCCCCTGTACAAAAACATCGTAAATTCTCCCTGTATGATTCTTCCATCTCGAATTTCTTTCAAATATAACTTGAAGCGAAAGCTTTTGAGTTAAAGTTGCCACTCTTAAAATTGCTAGTTCAATGATTCTGTTGTCTGACGTGCCCTAGAAATAAAATGTATGGCATTGATAAATTTGAGGGTAAGTAACATAATCCTTATTGTGGACACAAGAAGTTTTAGAACGTACTTATAGTAACTTTTTATTCCCAGTTATTTTTAAGTAACCATCTGTGCTTAGTATAAGTACTTGCATCAATAAAGTCTAGATACACTATTACGAAACGGCCAGTTTATATGGATATAAATATTTCTATACTTTTATCCGTATAAACTTGTAGTTGTACCGTAATAGTGGATGTAAGCTTTATCTTGGACTACTATACACGGTATTGTGTAGTTGCTTACTGTTTGCATTAATGTTTATTAAATTTAAATTTGAACTTTATGTAAAATTATGTTAATATTGATGAGCAACAATGCAAATAAATTAAGTATTGTGGGGAATAGAGTCGGTCAGATTCAATGACGTCACAAAGTTTGATTTTTTTTTTTACCTCTGCAAATAATACCTAGACAACTACAATTCAGAATTTGATCACGTATTTACAAAGTACTTTTTTTTTAGTTGATGGTGAATTCATGGAGTTTTCATTTTTAGTACTTCACGTGTATTTCCGTAGTCCTTAAAAATATAATATTGAGCATCCATCTATCGACAATAACTAAGCTTCCCAATTGTTGTTTAAGACTCATCACGTAGATAAATTAATATGTATAATTATCAACGGACTTTCGTTCTACGTTAAAATACTTTTATTGCGAGCTTTCGGCCCTCTTAGCGGAGCCTTCATCGGGCAACAATGTAAAGTCCGTTTATAATTTTACATAAGTTTCTCAATTTTGGCTATCTATTCTTGTTTTACTAACGATCTGCTTCTGTACATGGCATTCTCAAATGATCTTTTCATGTCTTATAGCTATCTATACCTTATCCAGGTCGACATTGCTTCTTTATCTCTTCCACAGTCTATCAACCTATCTTTTATTTTAGAGTTATTCAATTTTCCATGTTTCATACAAGACCGATGAATTTGTTTTCAGAATTTTGCGCAAAGCTACTCGAGGGTTATTTGTCTCTAATTTTGAAGCGATAGACAAGAAGGAAGGCAGCTAATCAACACCATTTACCGCCAACTCTTGAAACTACTCTCTTACCAACGAAAAGTGGGTTTGATCATCACATTATAACCCCCCCCCCCCCCCACCGGATGGAAGGGCGAGAACATTCGGTGACGGGATTCGAACTCGCGTCCTGCAGATTGCGACTCTAGTATCCTAATCACCAGGCTATACCAGAAAGGCCGAAGAAAAAGATAATTCTTTATGAACACATTTAGTGTTCTATCTAAATATTTGTAACGAAACAACAACGGCTTAACGTTTTATGTTTAACCGCTATACTCAGTTTCAAAGATGAAAGAACAACACATTATAGCCTAATTTTTCTTGTGTCTAAGCTTTAAGTTTTCACCCAAAAACTTGTAACGAAACTGTAACATCCTATGGACTTTCGTTTCACTCAAATTCAATGTTTCCGGAATTTGTGTTAAGTTGTCCTTCTATACTCAACGGTTGTTGGTGTATTTCAAAACATATACAACCTATTAGGTTACCATTTATCGAAAAAAGATTGAGAATATACTTTCTTGAAATTTATTCATTTATATTACAACCAGAACTCGAAAACAAGAAGCTTTTTCTTCTTTATTCATCACGTTGTAAGTCTCATTCCTCCCGAGTTCAGCGACCTTTCTTAACAAATTTATCAGATACTTAAAGATAAGTTTTATCTTATCTTTTACTCTTTAATTCAATATGCCTTTTAGTTGTTTTCGAAGTTGCAACGTGTTTTTAATAGTTTGATTAGAAACAAGTTCTAAAAGTCCTTTTAGTACATGAACACGAGAGGTGACTCAGGTCCACACTGGGAATTATTCGAAAACTTTGTTCTACACTATTTAAACTGGCGAAGATATGGTTGGTCGCTTGCAGACAATTTTGGGAAGTCTTTCATTGCATAACTATGCAGCATAAAAAGTCTTACGCGCTGTCATGACCCTGAGTCTTTGAATGTACAATCAGCAGATGTTAGCCGTAACCATCCTGTTGTACACTATTTTTGAACACACACGGACAGGTGTTAATATCTGACCGTGACAGTCAAAATTTAAATTGTTCCCTACTGAATTGAAATTCATAGTAAAATATAGGAAGTACACAAACCTCAATATGTAATGTTCATAACGAATGGAGCGGAAAGTCCACGTGTTCGTTTCAGCTCCATCCATTGACGTTAAACAAATTTCAAATTATATTTTAGCAAAACGCTTTTGTTGTTTGTGATGTTATATTTTGCACGTGTTTGAATGCAACTTTCAGTGCAAACAATTATCCCGAAATTCTCGTTTTTATGCTTTATAATCTGGTTTGGTGGCATCACACGTGTTATATATATGTACATTTATGCATAACTGTATGTCTCTATTAGAGATACAATGTACAGATTCAGTTAATTTTGAATATAGTAAAAAAAGAAGAAAAAAGAATGATATATTCGTATGAAGGTTAATTGTCTGTCTCTATTAGAGATACAATGTACAGATTCAGTTAATTTTGAATATAGCAAAAAAAAAAGAAAAAAGAATGATATATTCGTATGAAGGTTAATTGGAAGATGATGGTTAAGAAAAAGATTTTGTCGGGGGTTCGACTCCACGCAGTGGACACAGCAGATAGCTTAATGTGCATGGCTTCGATCATAAAAACAAAACAAACAATTTCCGTCTTAAAGAGGAAAGTACGACTTAAGAGCTGCTTAGATCACAAACTCTGGTCGATGGATGACTGAAAGCGTCTGATGAATCGTATTACACCCCTTTTCTGTGTTGATAGGTAACAAATCTGGAGAAATCCACCTGAGACTCTTTACTCCATTATTATTGTTCAGAAAATGCAAACTCCTGGAGTTTATTTTTCCTCATGTCCGAAAGTATGTTACTTTAGTTATAAATGAATTACATTTTGTTATCGTCTTGACATTTATGTATGGTTATTGGGAAATAATTAACTTGTCTTTTGTATCTATTGTTATTTTCCAGCATCCACGAGATATAAGAAGTCTCCACTACTAGAAGCTACATACGTTTTCGACCCACAATCCAGAATTATCCCGAGTAAAGAAAGACTTGGACTCAGCTCACGGTCCGTCGTCCAGTCACTAAGTCTTAGTGAGAACGAGGTGGTACAGGAATCATGCGTGACAGCCGACGGACGGGAGGGCACGTGCTATGACGCATCTGTCTGTATGAAACGGGGAGGAGTTCCAATGGGCCACTGTGTAGAAGATAGTAGCAGTGTATGCTGTTTGTGTAAGTCTATTTTCTTGTTTACGGTTAACTGTATACCAGTGAAGGTGGGATCTTTAGGACTTAAACTCGTTCTTGAATTCATCCTGAAAACAAGCAACAGTTCGTGTATACCAAACAGTATTTTCTTTTTTGATTCTTTATTATAATAATTCCGTGCTGTACAGTTTAAAATGCTATAATATTCGATAAATTAGGAAGGGAAAAAAATCAAAATTTTATGATCGAGAGAGATAGATAGATAGATAAAACTTATCACTAACGTTCTCTCAAAATAACTTGTTTAGTATCCAATAAGTTGTTTGATCGAAATGGTGACTACTTGTTTCCATATAAATATATTTTTTCGTACACACCACTACAAATTTGCATAAAGGTGCAAATATCTTGAAATTATAACCTTGAAGGTACGATTATTTATAAAGTTTGAAACAATTGTGTATATTTTTTCTTCCAATGAAACATCTTATACATCAAAACATCTGGTGGTTAGTAACGTCCTGGTTCCAGTAGAAAGTTTTGAAAATAAGTGAACACCACAAGTTTCAAAAACGGAAAACGTAGAAATACTGACTTGTGCATAACGAAATGCTAAAATGACCGAAATTCACTATTTTGGAAACATACCTTTCAGCCTATTTTAAAAACCTCTGTATAGATTATCATGATACTACACCTAGTAGCAAAAATTCACACAGTTAAACTTGTATACGCAAACAAACGAACTTGCACTGCATAATGGAGGATTTCATAATTGAACATCCTGGAAATAAAACAAGGTCATAGTATTTTTATTTTACTTTATATAAAAAAGCCAAATACACACACACACACAACAAAAAAAAAAACAACACCAATTTTACATTCCACTAATGAATCCGGTTTTCCTAATCTATTACTGTAACGCTCAGTCCCTAACTGGTTTCCTAACAAATAATGATCACCTTGTGGAGTAACAATTAAAAGCTGAGCGAGAGCTTTCACTAACGAACCTAATAGTGGTTTACTGCTATAGTCTCTGTATAAACACCTCTACTCTTTCATAGCGGTCCCTCAGTGGGACAGCTGTAAGTTTACGGACTTACAACGCTAAAATTCGGGGTTCGATTCTCCGCAGTAGACTCAGCAGATAGCCCAATGTGGCTTTGTTCTAACACAAGCAGACAAATCTTTTGTAACGAAACAGTGCTTGAGAGTGTTCATCTGGCTCGATATTTTGTGACCTTTCAGTTTTGTAAGCTGTAATACAAAGCATCACGAGCTAACATTCAATAACAATAACCAAACAATGGCTAGTTAAGAACTTCAATTTCTGACTAGTAACTCTCTTCGGTTGATGGCGAAAGATTGTTAACCAATGGAATTTTATATAACCTGACAATGAGAAACGTTTCAGGTGTAATTTATGTACACATACACACCTTTATGCTCGCTCTTGACGAAAAAGTTTTGTTTTTAAAGCTCCAGCTAGCTCTAGCGTCTCTATGTTGTAGCTTTTCCGATTAGTAGATAGTAATATGAAAGTATTAAGCACAAATCTGGGAAAATTACAAGGGCATACCATGAACAAGTGAGAGTGACAATTTGAGCAATGCCAGTTCGTCCTCCCAGTCGTACAGTGGTATGTCTGCGGACTTACAACGCACGAATCTGGATTTCGATATACCCGTGGTGGTCAGAGCACAGATAGTCCATTTTGTAGCTTTGTGCTTAATTACAAACAAACAATGCCAGTTCGTCCTCCCAGTGGTACTGTGGTATGTTTGCGGACTTACAACGCAGGAAACTAGGTTTCGATACCCGTGGTGGTCAGAGCACAGATAGTCCATTGTGTAGCTTTGTGCTTAATTACAAATAAACAATGCCAGTTCGTTCTCCCAGTGGTACAGTGGTATGTCTGCGGACTTACAACGCTCGAAACCGGGTTTCGATACCCGTGGTGGTCAGAGCACAGATAGTCCATTTTGTAGCTTTGTGTTTAATTACAAACAAACATTGCCAGTTATCATCAGCTCAGCTGAGACGATGTAATGTGGACCATAGCAATTCCATCTCAATGAAGACACTAAGGATACCAATTCGAAATGAAAAACTCTTTTATAAAAAAAAGCAATGTCGAACGTGTATTGATGGCAGTTGCAAACACTTAAACCATTTGTTATATGAGACTGACTTCGTGATTACACAATTACGAAAATAGGTTTGTTGTGTTATACGTAGTTTCGTTTTCTTTAACTGGCGGTTTGCTGTGGCTCACCCTCTACTTTACCTAAGATACATTAACACTATAGCTACTTAGCAAGCTGGACAAATCTTAACTTCAACAATGAAATTTTAAAGATGGATGTGCAAGTAAATTATAAAATTTAAATCAATTTTCAATAGGAAAACGTCTTCTCATTTGACTTAAATATAAGCTGACTTGAAAGTGACTCTCAGCTAATTATGGTGTGTTGTTTTACCTACTGTGGGATGAGTGTGCTTAACTTTCCTGTTTTTGCTAGTTTATTGCATATTTACCCAATCTATTAATTTATCTTTATGGATAAGACAACATTGAAAGTATAAGTATATATTGAATATTTAGAACAAAACGTAACAATTATTAGAAAACAAAGCCATTCTTATAGGGCCAAAGGAAATCTGAGATTCTTTGATGTTTTTGAAAACACCGACACGAAGAGAGAAATCACTTTAAGAATCAATAATGTTAATTTTCGTTTTATAATCAGAGTATACGTGCTGGTCCCATTGAGATTATGTTTTTAACGGTAATATGGGTTATCTTAGACTGTAATGACACCAGTTCTTTATTTAGATTACCGTTGTGGCTTCATTGCTCTTAAGCTGCTAATTAACGCTAAGATGGGTTAACTTTACTCAGAATTTACTAACACTAGTTGTTTATATATACCAAGTAATAAAAATATTTTGTAAATGTAAAGTGAGGTAGGGATGGCAGTACCAAAAATAATACAAACAAAAATATAGGGATGATACAGCTATACATAAATAATTTCTACATGACTTTCAGTATTAAAATTTAAGTTACACTGTAAAATTCACGAGTACAAAATAGTTACGAGGTCGGTTAATTTGACCGACTTCCTAGCCAGAGGCAGTAATAATCAAGACATTTTTTGACTCAACTTGGTTTTCCTTGTAAGTAAGTCCTTGGCTCTTAGTTACGCTACATTGATGCCCACCCTGACATGACCATGATATTATGATAAACGAACTGCATACCAACAATCAGGAATATATAACTCCCAACTGCAGTAATGTTGAAGTCAAGTATGCATTTTACAATGCAACATTAAATTTTAATATTGAAAGTCATGTAGAAGTGATCTATGTATAGCTGTATCATCCCTATATTCTTGTTTACATTCTTTTTTAGCACTGCCATACCTACATTATTTTACATTTACAAAGTATTTGTATTACTTGTTTTGTGATGTTTTTTCCCTTGAAAGTTAGTATATTCTATAAACATGTGTAATAAAATTTAAAATTTTGTGTACTGATTTTTTAATCCTTCACTTCATACATAATATAGTGGTTGTCTTCCTAAAGACACCGATTGTATAGTGTACAAAGCATTGCGTATTCTACATGTTACATTCATCTAATGTTCATCTATTATTGGGTAGTAATTCTTGTTTCACCCTGTACTTAAGTTTTCTAAAGGAACACAAAAACTGTGTTAAAAAGCTAACTTCAAGGGGTAATGATAACAACGTTTATACTAGAATTATTTTTAATTACTACTAGTTATTACGTCTAAGAGATGACTAAGACATCTTGCACTGCCCAGAAACACATAGAGTGAAATTAGGTTTAAATTGACGTTAGTGATAAAGTAATTGCACAGTTATCTCAAATGAAACAAGAAGAAGAAAAATGAACAATTTGGTGGGTTGATCACTTTATGGTTTGGTATCCTAGCGATGGTTTCTTGCCTTGTTTCTGGGTTTGTTGGGTAGAGCAACAAATGAAAAAGAGTAGAAATCATCATTCAAAGTAACAATCACTGTCATTGTTGATTTTTTTAGCTTGCATATTTATATTATGCCTTTTGAGTACCTTGGCTATCCCTACATATAGAGTTTTCCGACTCCATGATATATTGTTGCCAATTTAAAAGATCTTTTAACTTTTATGTCTGTAGTATCAATAACAGATAAATTTAGTATAATGATATTCGAATGTATAGCTATTCCTATTTCAACAGAAAATGGCGTTAGTTCAGTATTAGCAGTGTGAGACAGAATTAAACATAAGTTGTGTTACTGAAACAAATGGTCATATCGACTTATCTTTGTTTTCCATTTAGTTGAGGTGTCATGTGGCAACAGCAGTTACGAAGAATTCACGTATTTTAGGAACCCTTCCTTTCCTCAACCGTACGAAAAAGAACAGCTGTGTAGAATCAAAGTCGGAAAGAGAAAGCCTAACATTTGTCAAATGCGTCTTGACTTTTTGGAACTGGACATAGCTCGGCCTGTTGACGGCAACTGTTCGCAAGATATGCTGGTCATTTCTGGACAAAACGAAAACAATCTCGTCCCCCGAATTTGTGGTCTAAACAGTGGCCACCACTGTAAGTACCATCATAAATCACTTGGAAACTCAAAGTTATCATACCAACTACATATTTGCACTGTAGAGCTGACATGTTTTTGATCTGGACGTTTATTTCAAGTGTCACGTAAGATGTTTCTCGGGTTTTAAAATACCAAATATTCACGGCCAACTTTTAGCTCCTATACATATTTTACTGTAGAAGTGGATGGTTTAAGTCATATTAACCTTGAACTTGCGTGTTTATGAATGATATTTCTTCACGTTCGTGAGTTGATGTGACTCTCAATATACTTTTGTCATTTTATAGTTTATGTAGACGTAGACGAATCAGGAATGGTTAGTGTGCATGTGATGATGATCAACAGCTATTCCAGAAAATTTAACATAAAAGTTACCCAGTTGGAGTGCCAAACTTATGAAATAGGTAAGAAAACAATGTTTCGTTAAATGGTGATTTTTAAACTAAAACTCTCTTATATAATATATTAAATTAAAGTGTAATAAATACAAACCAATGATTATCTTCTTTATCTTTGTCAGAAGATAACTCAGTTTACACGTGGTTAATAAAATACTTTAGGTGTTTTTCTTTTAGCACAAAGCCACACAATACACTGTCTGCTCTCTGTTCATCACGGGGTGTCGAACGCGGATCTTAGCGTTGCAAGTCCATAAACTTATCGCCGTCCCACTGGGTGAAAAATGTTTTAATTCCTTCAAGAATTAACAATGTAAACTGATGTTACGACTATATTACGATCTTAACTAAATATTTATGTGTAATTTTATATCTAGTAAGTACAATAACAATAGATCTTTAAAATCCCAAATTAATTATTCTTATAAAAAAAAATAGTGGACAAAAATTTTGAAGCAATGCTTTACATTTTGAAAGTAAACTAAATCCCTTCACATTCGTATATTAGAATAAGCTTTATATTAACAAACAGATAATAAGATATGATAATTATTTCGTCTTAGAAATAGAGGTTCGGATTTCAAAATCCCATTATTATTTGAAAAAGTCTTCCCCGTTTTCAGGCAGGACAAAGTATTTTACACACATACATACAAACTAGATCAATTAATACAGTGCTAGATTATTTGGTTTGAGCTGTATTAAAAAAAATCCGATGTTAATTTTGAAACAACAATACAAAATGTCTTGAGATAACTGACCTGCGTGATCAGTGGAAGATGTGTTCTGACATGGCGTTTAGCAGTGTGCGTTTCATCTAAATTCTCTTCTTTGTTCATGAAGAATACCCACTTATCTGTGGTTTTGTATTTTTGATAGTTCCTCTTCATTGCTTACAATACTACACTGGAACTCACGGCGTTATTAAGAGCTTTAATTATGATGAAGAGGGTTCCACAGTTCATCAAGGCTATCCCAACAACCTAGATTACACCATTTGTTTAAAGAAAGAGCCAGGATTTTGTTCCGTTTCATACGAACTTGCTTCCGGTGTCTCGGGGATTAAACCCTTCGGTGTAGGCTCGGTCACTGCATCTTCAACGTCGACTGTCACAGCGCCAGTTGTTGCCGAGTGTCCGGAAGACTTCTTGGTGATAGGAGGGATCCGACTGTGCAGTGGACGTGTAGCTGCCTCTACAAGTATTGTAAGAGGTCGTGAAACAAACACAACTACTTCTAGACTATTAACAGGTTCGTATTGTTATTGCAGTTTTAATAAAATCATATAGACAGTTCTATAAACCAGGAGACATTAAATTTAAAATATATATATTATTGCCAGAATTAAATGTCCGAACAGAAGGTCCATGTCAATGATAAAATTGTCTTGTTAATGTATTTTTAAATGTGTCACACTATAAATTCTGATATTAATGGACCACATGCCTCAAAGGAATGATAAGTATAGACATCAATGATATTAAAGTCCAGGGTACCACTGTAATAAAGGAAGGGTAATAACAGAAAAATTTGGTATGGATTTATAATTTGCATACAAAAGTTGACTGGTTTTTTACAAGTGGTGTAACCAGGTCTCAAAGGGTCTTTGGGCAAAATATTTTGTTGCTTCCCCATTAAATCGTTGTCTATGTTTCAGAATATATTCCTCTCAGTTCTAATATTCAAAATTTCAAGGTCGGTCTGAGTCCTGAGACAGCTGCTCCAACTATCGCTATACCATTCGTTTTTATTCGATCTGGAGTTTTGTTTTACTTCCTTAAAAAATTAACAATCTATTGTTTTATTACTATGTATAATATTAGGAAAAAACTGTGTATCCTTACTGAAGTCCCCATCTTGCAATCCACTCATATTCGGACCGGCACTACTAGTGGGGAGGGGTAAGGGGGACCCAAAGTTAATCCCGTCCGTTGACCTAATTTTAGATTTGGCCCCATTATATATCCCCCCCCAGTTAAGAAAAGCTGAGAACATTAACCTTAATGTTGATACTTTTTGAACAAAAACGTCTTTTGTTAATCCTGCATAACGATTTTTTTATTCTCTTTGCAGATTTGAGTAATATTTTAAAATATCAATTAAAATGTTTTTGCGCTTCAATATCCCAGTGTCAATTAGCTCTAACAATGTATTTTCAAACGTCAGCTTGTCTGTACAATTAATTGCTATCTAATATATTGAATTAATTGCTACAGTTAATTTTAATGACACAATTCATCATATTTACAGATTCGACACCGGGTCCATTTTTAGTGAGATTCGTCTCAGATCATGCAAAAAACGCTCGAGGCTTCAATCTTCAATATCGACTGAACCCTTGCAAATAAAAAAATGAAAACGAAAATTTAACTATCCTATAACAAAACGGATGTTTTATCCTACATCCGACTGACTTGAGTTTTAATATTTTATACTTTCTCATATGTAAAATCTATGTTTCGTTTATGTTTAACGTGCACATTTGCTCTTCGTTTTTATTTAGTGAGTATATAATTTGACAATGCACTATGTTTCTATTTTAGACAAGTAGACGAAGAAAACTATTTGGAATAGTTAAATGGGCAAGGGAAAAGGTAAAACCGGATCTCTGTTCTTTTTTTGTTGATGTTTTTTGTATGTCCAAACCTAGATTAGAAGTTTTTTTTCAATATTTTTCTATTTGGGAAAGCACATCTCGTAACAGTATTATTTTTTCTTTCAAGGCACAACACTCAATTAAACAAATCTTTTTTGTTATTTTTTCAATTTTTTTTATTAATTTGAAAATCATATCTTCAGGTCTGATTTGACATTATTGAGGCTAGAGAAAGAAGGAAAATATTACATTTATAAACGCCCTGAAGTGTTTTACTCGAGGTCTTTGAATGATGTAACAGTTTGCAATTGAAAAGTATCTATTTTGAACTCAAGTGATCTCCTGTTTCGTAAAATTAAATCCGTGTCTCACAAATTATCTTTATGAAATAATCTCTTATTTGGAGGATATTTCTCTAACGATGTATCCGTCAGTTGGATTGTCTTAAAGGCAGAATCTCATGGTGTTTTTTCACGAAGAGTCTTTAAGACGCAATATTTTGTTTGAATGGGTTGCTTTATCCTAGAATTTCATATCTGACAGGATATTTCACCTATGATATATATATGTCTGTTGGAATATCGTGGCTGATGAAGTATTAAGTGAAATAGTGTCAGTATGCTGGAATTTCGTGTCTGGTGAAATGTCGTCTCTTACGAAATATACCTGTCTTTCCGAGGGAATTTCGCACCTGATAAGTGTAGACTGCGACGAATTATAACTGCCTATCTCAGTATCATGTCTGACGTAAAATATATTAAACATTGTCCGTATGATGGAGTATTTACTCTCTCTGACGCACTTTACCTAGCTATCTGAGTATATCGCGTATTTGTAAGACATTTCAACAAATTGGAATCTCATGTTTGTTTGGAGTATCTTTATGAAGAAAGCGCGTAACTAACAGATCTACTGTACTTATTTAACACTTGAGGAGAAGAATAACATTTCTCTAAATTGTTGGATTTTAGAAAAATCACTTTAATAGTACTCGAAGCGAAATATCTACAACAGACAAAACTGAAAAACCGGACAAAGTATATAATTTTCGTCATCCTCTTCCCTAAAGAGAAATGAACGAACTAGGACACAACGAATAATTGAACGAATTAGACCACAACGGATAAATTTTGTCATGCCTCCTCCTAACGAGAACTGAACAAACTAGGGCACAGCGGAACGATTTTCAGAGTTTGAGTTTATTTATGTTTATATAGTTCCATGGCTAAATAGAAAGCAAAATAGATTATAGATTTTCAGGTAGAGCTTTTGGCGAATATTCACATTTTAATAGCAAATATCACATAGTATTAAGCAAAAGTCAATTACTTATATTCTTTTTGTTTACGTTCCCAATATGTTAACATCCAAACATCAAATCAATGAACAACTAATAAAAGTGTGTAGTTTTACGCATTTGGATTGAAAAAAAAGGGGGGGAAGGGATATAGAATGTTCTAGATAGCTATAGCTACATATTCGTCATAATTCTGATGCATCTAATTGCAGGTATATAAGTAATTTATAAATGACCCGGGAACTAATGTATTAATCTAGTTTTCACTCTATTGTGATATGTGTATTTTAATGACGACAGATATCAGATTTTAAAGTAGAATCCGTACATTGATGATTATCTATAGTTTTTTGCGAAGGGAAGAGTGAACGATAAAGTTCCAGCCTTTCTTGGACACTTCATCATAATGCCCAGTTTTACTAGAGGGTAATCAATAACCGTAACTTGGTTGTTTTGCAAACCCTGAAACCTTACAAAAATTAAATATAAGCAGTTAAATAAATTTTTGCTCCATGCTTAAATTTCTAAGCATTAGGATCCAGGACAGCTTTCCAATTTATTCAGTTCATGGATTTCCAGAACAATCCCGGAAGATTAGTAATCTTAGTAGACGACGACATTTTATTTCTTCTGGATAGGATCTTAATTCCTGGATTTACAGGACAATCATGGATCATTAAAACCTTAGTAGGCGACACTTTGTTTATCCTGGACATGATCTTCCAATTCATGAGTTTCTAGGACAATCATGAATGATTGAGAACCTTAGTAAACAATACTTTGGATGCAACTTATAAACTGGTCGTTTCCGTTACAAACACACCACTTTGAGTTCAGTTTAAGAACCAGAAAAGACAGTGAAGTGTAGCAAAAACTTTGTTTTGTCTTGGATATTTCGTGCTAATTGTCAATGAAGGACACCTTTAAAATTTTTTTTCTAACTTCAAAGCTACTTGGGTTGAAAATTTTCAATACCATTATATTATGAAAGTGACAGATACGTGTACCTAATATGATGGAGCTGTTGACAACAATGAATCTTTATCGAATTTATTTGTAATGTTGAAAAAATGATGAAAGTGTTGAAATAAAAATATGGTTTGAATGTTGAGTCAAGTTAGATTTTTTATAATAAATTAAGCAATGTTATCAGAAAAAAGAAAAAACAAAAACGATGATCATGAATCACATGAAACATTTAAAAAGTCAAATAGCCAAAAGTGATAATTTTCTGGGCCTACTTTCTTGAGAATGCAGGTATTACTATTCAATCATGTTTAAATATGAATCAATAAAACACTTTACAGTAGCACTGAGGTTAATTGAAATTTATAAGAATAATATTCCAAGCTTTGTGTTGTCCTTTAAAATATTTCCCACATCATCGATTGTGCTCACTCTGACGGCCATGATTACTTATTATTGTCCAAACATCACAAATTGCATCATAACAAGTGTCTGAGAAGTTCAGTTTTAGAAAAATAATATTTATAAATATTTCATAGACCCTAAACTCTACATGAATGTCGACTTCCAATACTACGTTTAGATAGACCGAAACTACAATAGTCCGTTGGACTACAATTAGGGAATTTTACAGGTATGTGTTCGAATGGAATTGCTGTGATTCTAGATTTTTTAGCCATTTTCTTGGAAAAAAAAACATGCTAGTTAATTTCGAGACGTGACTAGAAGCTTGTGAGTTTTTGGCTTGCAAGCTTTCTTTGTCTTTAATTCATTGTTTATTACCTACACTGTAATGGCTTTTTTCTTAGTTGAATAGTCCTCTTTCGTACCTACAGCATGGTAAACACTCCACTACGGGTTTTCTGCTTCTGTGAAAATTGACGGGTACTTTCTTGTAAAACTTGTGTTGTTTGGCTTTACATTGTTTAACAATCATGCTGTATGAATATCTGTCTCGGGAAAGGATTTTTACGATATTAACCTAATCATAAGTAAACCAGTAAATCCAACGTCAGGAATTTGTAGCTAATAAAACATATAGGTACTCAACAAGTTACCTGTGGTGTCATAGCTCGCATCTGCGGTAATATGCTTCTGTATTAACGTATACAAATAATTAAAATAAAGTGTGACTAACGTTCCATAGCGCCCTCACCATTCGGGTTATCATCAGCAGGTAAAAGGATCGAATTTATAGAACCAGGTTAAATGTGTGAGATAATTACGAGGATTGAAACAGAGACAATAAGGAGAAATACACTGATTCAAAAACAGTAAACAAATGTTAAAACCAAATTAAAAATGTCAACACATTATCATCGTCGTCTGGAAGCTAGTAGGCTGATCAGGCTTGGCGTTGAATGTGAAAAGTAAAAATAAATAATTATAATAGGTTTTGTTATCAAAATATAAATTGTTTGAAATTTGACTCACAAATGGCTTCAAGTAGATTCGGATATTTCTATGTCGTTTAATCAGTTACCAGTATATAAGTTCCATGGATAACAAGCAAATACAACTTCAAGTAAATGACATGAATATTAACATAAATGTGTACAATTCAAGAATATATGAAAATGTTATTCACAGTATTACGTATTAAGATCACACATGAAAATAATAGGCTGGTACGTCTGATATCCGTGACCTTTACAAGCTAGAATTTTAAAAAGGACACACGCCTGTAGTTATCAAATCTGTAAAAGGCCAAGTATCAATGGCTAAAGGTAACACATAATCTCATTTCATAAAAAAAGAGGTTTGCAACAGAAAAGTGCATAGTATAAATCTGCAACTATCAGGTGTACATCGAGGTAGTGACTCAAAGGGGCTAAGCCATGAATAATATTACTCAAAGAACTAATGATGATATGGAAGCCGTTCATGACCACAGATTACAGGAAAGAAATTTAAAGCATTATGATATGTAGTAAGAGAAAAACTCTTCAAATTCTATTATTTTTTTCAACAATCAACCTTAAAATACAACTTATCCAGAATACCACACTTTCACTAAAGCATCACTTACAAAAAATAAATTACACATGGTTGTTTATTCAATTTTTGCACCTGGATAATCTTTGTCTTCAATTTCGATATGACTTGCGCTTCTTTCCTTTCCTTTTAACTACATATTATTTAATATTCTCTTCTAAGAAACCGTTAAGTAACTATCTCTCCCTTCTTTTCTACGTTAAGGGTTCAATCTCACTTTAATCTCTCTCCCATTTTTTCCACGGAAAAATCATTAAGAAAACTGATAAAATGAAATGAATTATTTAACAGGTATGTAATAAAACATTAATCGTTTTATCGACGTTTACTCGGCGTAATCAAGAATGATATTACCACCTCCAGTTAACAAACTTTAGGGGCATAATCAAGAATAATATTACCACCTACACTTAACAAACTTTAGGAAGTGTTTCGTACTTTTGTTTGTTTGAAGTTAAGCACAAAGTTACACAATGGTCTATCTGTGCTATGCCCACCACTGGTATCGAAACCAGGATTCTAGCGTTGTAAGTCCGCAGACATACCGCTGTGCCACTGGGGGGGGGGGGGTCGTTTCGTACTTGATTCATTACCTAATTATCCAGTATAAACACATTAGTAAGCTTAGAACTTATATATAAAACGATGATTTTCCTGCTTTGACCACTCTTTTAGAAGTCAGTAACGGTAGATTAGGGAGGCCTAAATTCTAACGTAAATTTAACTTCAAATCGTTGAGCCTATAAACAGTCCATAAAAATGTATCAAAATATTTCTTATTACACAGTTCTGAAACTAATGAATAAATAGCTGAACAAAATAAATCAAAAAGTATTTGTGGTGCCCGGCATGGCCAGGTGGTTATGGCGCTCGACTCGTAATCTGCAGGTCGTGGTCAATCCAACTATTCGTTGGTGAAAGAGTAGCCCAAGAGTTGGCGGTGATGGCTAACTGCTTTCCCTTTAGTCTTACACTGTTAAATTAGGGACGGCTAACGCAGATAGCCCTCGTATAGCTTTGCGCGAAATCCATAAGAAACAAACAAACTATCTGTGGTGATCTTGAGAAAACACATAAGAATTTATGTTTTATGAAATGAATAAAGGTGACAAGTGGTGACATATCCTCCTATGGGATAAAATGGAGACAGGTAATTAAGTGCAGGAGCTATTTGCTCCATTTGCGTTTAAACGTAAATACAAGCTATAATTAACATTTTAAATTAATTAGAATAATAAAACATATGTTGTTCTATAATTTCGAGTCCATAAAGTAAACTAATTTCCTGTTTCTGCTATTGCTCAGCTAGGGTTACAACTAGATGTATGTGGTTAGTGATTCCTGGTCTGTATCAAGTCTTTTCTGGCCATGATTTCACTTCTTGTTCTATCTACTCACACCACAAGAGAGACATTCTAAGTCAGGGCACAGTTGGACCGGATCCTACACGTCTGTCTCACCTGATCCAGACTCAATCATCAGTTTTAGTGTCACTCTGTACGCAAATTACCCAGATCAATGGGTTGATTTGTTGCAAGTTCAAATTGGGACGAATCCAACTCAAGAGAAGTAGCTGTCTGGTTACAAATGTGTACCAAAACTAAAGTCGGTTTCCACAGATCTACTGATTCTTCTTCTCAAACTTTTGTTGCTACAGTGACATTCTAATCTGCTAGCATACATGGTTGGTTACTACTTCTGGCACTGCTACTTCAAATATTATTGTGAGCAGATGTCTTCGGTTGTGAAAACTACCAAGTCAAACGTCACGTCAACCAGGAGGTTTACTTACTCTCTCAATGTAAGACTACAGCTATAGTAAGAGTTTTGAGGGTTTCACGGTATGAACCATAATGTATGAAAGATGACCATCCTAGTTCGTCCATTCGAGATTTACAAACTTAGCCAGATGGTTTTGGTGATTTCAATGGTGTTTTCTCCCATCCTATCGAATTGTGGAACACGCAGTGGTTTATTGGGTTTTATTATTCCCATTGCTCAATACAACACAACAGAAGAACCCTTTAAAAATGGGTCTTTGGTATGTTGAATTGAATTTAGTCTGAACACTAGAGTCAGGAAGGGTATAGACTCCTGTTCACTTGGTGCAGTGGTCTAAAATGGCTGGTATATATCAATTAATATTACCTCAATTTGTTTCCAGTTAAGCCCAGAGCCACCTAACGCAGGGAAAACAACTTTACTATGGTGAAGTTTATTTTGGTGAGAACAATCTTTCCTTTTAGTTTCACAGACTGTTCAGTTCTTGTCACCATTTCTCTATATCATGACACGCGCTTGGTCAATAGAATTAAGACTTCAGGCTGCTAAAATGCGCAAGTGGCTTTCTGGTTTTAATGGTTATATATTGTAAATTGAATGATGCAAGTCTACAGACGAAACGTTAATAATAAATTATTATTATTTTTTAGATGTGAAGGCATTCAACATTTAATCTTACTTTAGTTATTTTCGTAGTCATTTTTTAATTTAAACGTGCGTATAAGCACATTAAAAAGAGTATTCAGAAAGTTCAACCAGCAAAGTTATAAGGGTACAAGGACTAGAAGTAAAGCTGGTACACAAACCACTAAAGTAGGCTAACAGTGAACTCTGTAGTAAAAAGATGTATCATGACAGAACCGGAAGAAACCTAGGAAACATTTGTTAGAACAATAATTATTCGGTTTATACGACCTTGATAAAGATGATAATTATTCCAGTCTACCTGGAAGAGATATGGTAAATAACACATGGTGTAATGTTCACTTGAAGGACAATTGACTGAATGTCATGATTATGATAAAGAAGTGACAAAAGTGGAAGAAAATAGAAATTTGAGTTTTTCTAGCTAGTTGTTGATTGGAATTTGATTTTGAAAACTATGAATGATCAAGAATGGAACAAATTAAAAAATCGTTCTTATTTTTCTGGCTGTAATAGAGTGAGAATTCTTGAGAAACGCAAACAATTAACCACTTCAAAACCATAGATGTGATACTGTAATGTTAAAAAAAAAAGAGGACCGAGATTGCGCAGCTAATTTTCTTTACATTCACTTGTAAGTTCTTTGAGTAATGTTAGTATAACTAGGATAATTCTCTCACCATCTAAAAAAAAAAGAAACAAAAACTTAAATATCTCCTTAAATATTTTAAACACAAAAACTGTCTTACAAATTCAAAAATATGTCATTTTTAATGTTTTCCAATTGTTTAAAAATGTTACAGTTACAATTCAAAACTATCTTTGCTTTTAAACCTGGATAGCTGGCAGATGGCGCCACAATTCTCATTTACCAAGATGTCAAACACAGATAATGTAATGTTTTATTGATATTTCTATGATGTCAAATAAATTGGGAAATGAAATTAATTTAAATCTGAATATTATCATCAATATCCAAGTTCTGCATGATCTGAAGGTGCTAACTTAATTTACTTGCCTCAGAAGGAATTTATGTGCAGATTTGCAACTAAACAACAAATGTAGTGTACATGTTGTTGATGTGGTATATTTAGAAAATAAGAACACCACACTGGAGGTAATTAATATGTTTTTATCCTTATAACAAAAGCTACGCACGTTATATACATAAAACGACTTGCTTAATAGTTGTGATTGTGCCATTCTTTAAACACTCTAACAATCCAATCCACTCAAGTAAATTTTAAGGCCAACAATAAAATATTTTCTTACAACTACTAAGAAACGAATAAAAGTTATAATATAATTATTTGATGCTAGTTACATCATTGGGAAATGTTAATATGTATATGCATGTAAATATATATATATGTATATGTAGGAAAAGTGTTAATAGGGATAAAAGAATGAGATGATAGCAAAAAACAATTCTGTGTTTAACAAGCAAGGCAACAGGTGGTTCTCTAATCTATGTTTCATTAAATATAAATTAAATAAATTTTAGTGGAGCTTTATAAATCGTATTTTTTTCAGCTAAATAACTTATAATTGATGTCGCTGGATGGAAACAATAGCCTATGAAATTCATTTATCTGTGGATTACAGTGATCAGAAAACATTCCTCACACTTCTGGTAATAAAACCACGTCTTTGACTTTAATTACCCTCAAAAAAACAAATTGCCCATTACGCAGTAAACCTGAAAGTTGGCATATCTAACAACCACCTCTTTTTGAAAGTGAAGGTGCATTACTACAGCATATCTTCTGATGTATTGTAACATTATAAAACAGAAATACTCAAAAATTACAGGAAACCTTTATGGAAGCTTACATAGATGACGTGCACGAGTTTAGAATACTAACAATATTGCTTACAATTATTCCTTTACAGATTTGTATGTGCAAAGGAAGACGTAACACAGAGTTTCACTTTAATGAGGAGTTCCAAGTTCTAGCTATTACTTCAAGATCCTTCAACTAACACTTTTATTTTTGGTAAAGTATGCATAGGTTAATCTTGTGGATAAACTTAGTGTGAATTACTTCACACAGTTTCATCATCATTAATTAAAATGTAATTCCGTAATTCTTATTCATTGAAAGATGACGAGTGCAGTCAATATTTAGCGAACGATTAGGAGAAACATAGTGCAACATAGTGAAAAAAATAATTTACACGTCATAAAAATGGGCTATCTTCTACAATTTTTAACAATAATATACACTTCACAACGAAAAATAAACAATTGAAATAAATAAAATATAAAAAATATGGCAAAATCTATTTGGAAATATAGAAATTAAAACTTTTTATTCAATGATACAATCTATACTAGAGTTAATTGAAAAAAGATATTATAACATTGAACATCTGATTAATTCTTAATGCTTCAATTAAAATCAAAATGATAAAGTTAATTTCATCAGATATTATTTATTATTACGAGATGGCGCCTCACAGCATACTGCAATTTTTACTACACGAGTTCTCTTTTTAAAGCATGTAAATTGAGAAATTATAGGACTACATGATCCATATCAATTCCTTAAATTACCAACAAGCCTTGCTGTAAACCTAATAGCAGAATCATGATTTGATTATCTAATATAACAAATGCAGTACGTATAAAATAAGAGCATCAAGTTCAGATAATAAATTACAGTAACTTTTTTACAAACTTCAGAAATCTACTTAATTACATTTCTTGGATTTAAAAAAAAATCTAAACAACCTCTAACAGAGAACAACAGGCTCCAGTAATATTCAAAACAAAACACCAGTTAATACAGTTCTCGAAATTAGCGACGGCAAAGTTATGGCACTTCATAATACACGTTAAGTACGACAGTAAAATAATATGCCATCGTAAGAAAATAAACTCGTAATTATTTCCTCTAATTTCTTGAGTTTTGAAAGATTAAGATTTTGTACAAAAATAAAACTGCTAATAGAAACAAAAATGTTAAATAATATAATGAACTCACATGCCTAATTTGAGATGCCGAATTAGGCGGATAGCTGTAAAAACCAAGGCGAACGTAAAATATGTTTAAGGAAATAAATCACATTATAATTTGAAACGTTTAGGCTTATCTCTCTAGATATTTCTGAAGTTTAACTTCGAAAACTGCCTCTAGTTTTATGATTTCATCAAAAATATTCAATCGATTTAAGAGAACTAACGCGTCTCGCTTTTACGTTGGTAAGGCCGCTTGTTTTGTACCCATCTTGGGCATTAAGTAATGTTTTCAGAAAAGACCACTACATTTGCCGTGGTGTTATCCTGATGACGCCATTTTTTTTTTGCTCTAGACTTGATGTGCTAATTTCGAGGACTGTTTATATAATTGCCGTGTTTAATTACTTGAAGCTTCTTAGTGGCACAGCGGTCTACGGACCTATAACACTAAAAACTGAGTTTGGATACCCGTGGTGGTCACAGCACAAGTAGTCCATTTTGTAGCTTTGTGTTTGTTTGACTACAAACAATTACTTGAAAGCCTTTTACAACTATCTTCGACAAAACTGAGCTGTAAAAAAGTCTGGTATTTTGATTTTGAGCTGTTAATGCAAATAAAACATAGACAAAATGCATACTTTGGCGATTCTGGAACATAAATATCATCTTAACTCTAATATGTACGTTGTAAATGCACACTGAATTCATTAGTATTTGTATCATAAACTTAATTGCAAAAAGAACGTTTCAAACGTACAAGGGATTCATTGGTATTTCAGACCATTAAATATAATTCCAAAAAGAACTTTGGAAACGTATACTGGAATCACTGGTAGTTAGATTATTAAACCAGAGCTAACATATAAGTTGCAAAGCGACACTGGATAAAAATGAATGAAAATACTCTCAATATTACGCATGCCTATTAAAATCAGTGACGGTTCAACTTCGTCAAGAGCAAAACATTTGTTAATACCGTTATTTAGACGTATTTAATCTAAAGATAAACGAACAACTTTAAATATTTCGGTTTCTGATATATTATTTTTGAATACAGTATAAAATATTATCTTACATCAATTTACACGATATAACAAAACACATGTCAACCGTTTAAAAGCTGCTTCAGGTGACTTTATCACTTAATAAACTTCTAATCACTGGAACGTTTGTGTATTTATACTTTGTGTGTGTCAAAATGAAAAAAAACTTTAAAATAAACACACGTGTACACGTGTGTGTACATATAAATACAATAACTAAAATCAACTAACAATAACATTGGTTGGTTTTGATATTAATTTACAATAACAAAGCAATAAAGAACAAAATGTTCGATCAAGTTAATTAAATCTAAATTATAAAGACGTGTCTATTCGTTTTATTGTTTGCAGGTTGATAAAATTACTTTACTATTTTGAATAGTTTGTTGCAAAGCAGAAAATTAAGCGAGTTTAATTCCATTTCAGACGTCAATCAAGGTAAGAAATTGGGACGTTACACTTCGTAAAGTTATGCAGCTAAAACAACCGTTGTCAGCATATCGAGAGAAATTACTTTCAGTAGCGTTGAGTAGTAAATCAAAGAAATTCCTAAGAGTTGCACGAGCTAATCTGGAGATAGAACACTGAAAACAAGAACTTTATAAATGTTACAGTTCATATTTTGATCATTATACACCGTTGTCAGCTTATTGCCCTCGAAATATGATGTTTCAACTTTCTTTCCAAACTTTTTGTATTAGCTTTACGCACAGACAAACACACATCTTTGCTCATTTTATTTGCTATGTTTTCGAAATGTGAAATTACATATGCTGGAATTATTATGAAGTCAATTGATTTGTTAACTACGTTTATACATACGCTATACAAAAAACAACAACGTGGAAATGATATAATTATATAATGCATGACGAGATTTAATGAAGAATTACAATGAGGCATCACCAATACGACGCAAAAGGGGAAAGATAATTATATATATATATATATATATATAAATCTATTAATGACTTTTATATGATCATGTATATATACCTCAATTTCACAATTGTGTCTCAGCATTCTTTCTTTTGTAAAAACAATGAACTAAGATTAAATGACACCTTATGGAATAAATATTAAGTTCTGTATATTGATTTCACTAAATTCTTGGAGTAGTTTATAACAAAATATCGTTACATTGTGTTAAAATAAGCTACAACTCTTATCAAAATTACACCATTTAAATGTGACCTTTGATAACTTTATTTTTCTGGCTGTAATAATGAAATAATTTAAATGCATACTGATACTTCAAAACTCATAAAGTAATAATAAAAGACTATTTAAATGCAGTTGTAATAATACAAAATAAATATAAAAAAAAACTTTATGCATCAAACCACTACTGTAAAGTGCCTTAGGAAATAACAAATTGGTTAGAAAAATAGATTTAGGGTTTAACTCCTCTGTAGAAGCGAAACTGGACTGATATTGGGCTTGTTCCAACTAAGAAGACATATTGGAAAAATCCGATCCCTTGAATTCCAACAGATTAGTTTAGCTCAGAAAATGACCTTCTCATTAAACCATTGAACCGAAGAAAGTAGAATATCGCCAACACTTCAAACACTTGTTTCTAATGGCAGTTTTAAAGTTTTCTAGACAGCTGAAGTAGAGAAAAGCTCTGCTTAGAACGACATTTTACCGAAAGTTTCCACTTCAAAATGAAAATTTCTACCTATTGTAAATAGGTTAATGTTTGGTAAACGAGTTTGGTATTTTTGAAAAGTCATTCACAAGAGTAATTTGGAACATAGGATTAACAACGCCTTCTTCTGAAGAGTCGCATAAGCCATTGCATGATCACTAAAACAAAACACTTGCATATAATAGCAATAGAAAAGTGAGTTAACTTTAGACAAAGCGGCTAAGTACCTGAAACAGATAAGTTCCTAAAACTTGCTCCATTACATTTGGTGTTGTAATACATATTGCACTAAAACTGGTTCTTTCAAAAATCAGCGTTTGGCATATTCTAAATATTGACAAAGAGTAACGAAGTTTACACACTGTTACGAAGAATGATCAAATGTACTGATCTTCTTTCTCACAAGAACCAAGAGAAAGAGATGCATCTCTCTCCTGCTCTTCGATCTCGTTCTCTAACATAGCTCTAACGGTCAAGTCCGTGGGTGAACTTCTTGGTGTGGGGGTCTTAGGTTTTGTTTTTGAACGGACACTTTTCCTTTTGTTCGGTAATTTGTCTGCTCCGAAACTTACGAGGTCTTTTCGTGCACTAGTTTTGCCACACGTATGTTTTGGATGATCGGTAGAGTTGTGGGAATTATTTATTGTTGAAGATTGCCCTGGACTAGGACCACAGTTAGGTATGTGTTTGAGAAGTTCGGTTATATTATCTTCTATTCTAGTCAACTTTTGATTTAGCCGTTGGACTTCCAGTTTCAAGTCAACTTTCAGATCCATAAGGTTGGCGAGTATCTGTTGATAGTCCGTACTGGACAAGCTTCGCGGTGAAAAGAGGTCCGAGGAAAAATTACCACTGTCGAAGCTATAAGGCCTGCCTCCATATTTCTGTTCTTCCACATGAATATGCCGATGGTAACAGTCTTTATTCTTTCCTGAACCACTGTTTGAGTGGGTGCTGTCGTCATTTTCTTGATGAAAAATCTGTTGACCATCTGGTTCAGCTGTCTCCTCGATAGTTTCTTGATGCGATAGAACTTTGGACCGCTTAGTTGGATTTTTCGCTCCCGGATTTACTATAGCTTTGAAGTCTTTAACCACATGGAGAGCATCCGATTTTTTTTGCAATTATTTCGCCCTTTTTAACCAGGCTCAAGTTTTCTGTCGCCCCCTGGTTTTCTTTGTTGTCGCCTCCTACCTTTTCAGTTTTGGTTAGTCCAATTGCTGGCGTCCATTTTGCAGCCCTGCCTTTTTCTGCTCCTTCAGAAATGTTCAGAAGTTTAAATATGCTGTTTCTGCTAGAGGGCGTTGCTCCACTTTCACTGAATGACGGTCGCTCCACTCGTTCTACATCTGGACTTGGTAATGTAGTCGTCTGGTGGCCAGTCGAGCCGTTCCTCCTGAAGCGAGAGAAAAGTTTGCGCACAAGATGGTCCTGAGAAATCTCTTGCAAAGGCTCATTCCGGCGTCTGTCTCCTAGTTCCTTTTCTCTCTTCACATCGGACACCTTGCGAAATATCAACTGAAAGATACAATGCTCTTCTCAATGTAGATAAAAAATAACAAAATTATCAAAGAAACAATATATATAAAACTTCAGTTTTTAACATTATAGTTCATAGAATAGTTTCTCTCATACTTATGAACAGTTCCTTTATGAAAAACAACTAAATAAGGCAAAAATAGGCCAACTTATTTCAAAACTAGTGGATTTTATTAAAAAGAAATGATATACAATTGTTTAAGTGAATTTAGAGACTCGGATAAAAAATTTATGCTAATTGTTTAGTATTTTTCATTGACAGGATTTGGTATTGGTATTTTCATACTGAATGGCACCTTATTAGTTCATGCACTAAACGACAAGGTCAGAGACTCTTAAAATTTGCTTGTTTTATTGTATTTCGTGCAAAGCTACACGAAGGCTAAATACGAACACCCGTCCATAATTTTTAAACTATAAAATAAAGGGATGGCAGCTATTAAACACCAGCTGCCAGTTCTTATTAGACTGTATAATGGAGTTGACCTTATCTCTTGTAACGTACACATGGTTCTAAATTGCGGAAGGCGATGTGTCTTTGTCTTTTTTTCAGTAACAGGGCTCAAACTACAAAACTTCAGCTTCACAGTTCGTTACGCTAACCATTGGATCGCGCTTGGCTCTGATCCATAAAGTTCGAAAATGGTCGTTCCTAATTTTGAATTACTTACCAGATGGAGGACAGCCAGTCAGCAGCATCCACTACCATAAGGGATTTGTTCTGACTCTTTGAGCCAAAAAAGGATTTACTTTAACTTGTATAATGCTTATACAATTAAAAGTGTGTAGTATGTCAGCAGCATTGCCTCTACAACCTAGGACCTTCTGATCCGTATCCTGACACCCTAACCACTAAGTCATGTCTGGTTTATTGTTTGGTAGTTTGTTGGTACATACACGCACAATTAACTGTCTATGCTGTGCACACAGCAGGGATCGAGTCCCAAGTTTTAGGTTTAGTCCCTCAGGCCTACTGCTGAGCCATGGCTGTTTGACAGAATTGCTTTAATTGTACATAAAAACCTGATTTGTTTGTATTGTTTTACTTACTTATCTGGCTTAATCTCTTTTCGTGTATTTTCTAATGTTTAAAAATTAATATGGTCACGTAAGTGTTCTTTTAAGAGATAACTATTTAAGAAAAACAACAACATAAAACAATAATTTATTGTTAGAAAAGACTTTTTTAACTTATCAAAGTAGTTATGTAATTTGTCAATAGGTGTCACGATTACATACAAAAAGCCAATGTTAAATATTTTACCAGAAATTTTGTTAAATAAAGTCATTTTACTTCTTTCACTTACAATTGATTTGTTAGAACTAGTTATTGAAACATGTTTTAATAGTTTATATGAATAATATTATAGATTTAATTACATTTTCTAGGATTTGAAATAATTTAAAAACAGATAAAACTTAAGTAACCAGTATTTTAAGAAAACATACAAGCTTTTAAAATCTGAAGTAATACACGCAAATTATTTTGTTTTTAAATAATGAGTATTTGAAATTCGTAGAATGACTCATGAATGGTTAAAATATCATCAGTACTATTTAGACTGATAAATATAGATTTCCAATTATTTTGTATCACTGGTTTTACCTAAAAATCAGACTGGAAAACCGGTTTGCACGTGAGGGCAGATTTGCTTATAAAAACTTATTTTTATCATTGCATAGAAAAGGAAGTCTAAGAAGTTCTACCAACCAAAATTAGGTAACGAGTAAGGCCAGGTGTTACTCACGATAAGCTCCCTATCTTTACAAACACTCACAAGTAGCGCTGAAAATCAAACGAAGTCCTTATTATTAATATCTTTTTTTATGGCAAAGAGAAATATAAGTTACTCATATAAGTTGTATTGTGTTGCATTTGCTTTTGAAAATAAATACAAATTTTAAGTCCATTCTTTCTAACGCTCCATACGCGGAACGTTGGTTAAAGTATGCAACTTACGTAAAATGTATAATATATTAGTAAATTAAAGGTTTTCCAAGAACGGATATTCTATAATTCTTGGAACTTTTCTTTGAACAATGATTGTTTTAATGTGAAACACAAGTACGACAATAACATCGTACGTAAACCTACACAAAAGTGATTCTGTAGCAATTTTAGATAAAACAAGTCCATCACACTAACTTCTCCAAAGAGAAGATAAACGACTTATTCCCAAACCAACTTTATGCGATTCTTGTAATATCAATAATCCATTCTTGGTTGGTTCTAGATCTTTTGGCTATTCAAACACTTGCTGCTTTACCCTGGTGACCTTATTAAAGAAATCTCACGTAGGCTATAATTTCATTACAAGAACGTTACAATCTTCCTTGGAGACCTAACGTGGCCTAATGGTTAGGGCGCTCTCCTCAAACCTGCGGGTCGCCGAACGTGCTCTCCCATTCAGCGTTGGGGCGTTATAACGTGACGGTCAATCCCACTATTCCTTAGTAAGAGTAGCCCAAGAGATGGCGGTGGGTGGAGTCTACTAGTTGCCTCCCCTTTAGTTTTACACTGCTAAATCAGGGATGGCTAGCGCAGATAGCCCTCGTGTATCTTTGCGCGAAATTCAAAATAAACAAACAAATCCCAAAAGTGACAGATGTTATTAAGAAGGAAGTTCATTCTCTTTCAAACTCTAAATACACTAAACTTCTAAATACACAAGTATGCTGTACGATAAGACTTTGGATGTTCTAACTTATTAAACCCTGACAGACTCTGTACTCAAACTATTGTAGAATCAGACGATGGGGCTTCAATTGTAATTGTTCTGAGTTGAAGCATTACCTCTTTATTCAAAACAAATCTTAGAATTAACTTTTTCGTGTGAAACCTGATACACATTGCAGAATTGCTTTATTAAATAATTCTGTTTCATTTGGAAAGGGAAAAATATTTCTCTAAGGCCTTTCGGTGAACACGCCAGCATCTTCCTTAAGTTTCCAACCTCATACATAACATTTTCCCTAACTATTATAAGTTACCTGCTAAGTCAACGTCCTTAATTTTTCAGTTCCATTGGATAACATCTCTCATAACTTTAACTTCATAAGCCAATTTTTTACATAGCTTTTCAAATTTTCACTCTAATATCTACCTCGTACAAAACGTGATATTGCTAGATGTTAGGCGTTGAGAATATAGAACATATGCCCAAGTCAGAAAAATTAAAACCATTTGTTTCAGTTTAAAAAAAAGGACACGACAAAAAAAAAAGAGTCACAAAAAGTTCAGTAAATAAGATAAAACGTCATAAGTAGGGTCAACAGTAAGTTTGCGGACTTACAATGCTAAAATCCGGAGTTCATTTCCTCCTGGTGGACGGTCTGCAGATAATCCACTGGGTATTGTGTGCGTTAAGAGAAGAGCAACAACAACAACAACAACAACAACAATTTAATTATCCTCCAAAGTAAAGACACGTCCACTTCTTCGCTTGCCTGAATATAATCTTTTCTGAAGCTTCCATTGTGTCAGTTCAGAAAAACAAATCATTATTCCCAATTTGCTCTTGGTTCATCTAAAGTTAATTTGGACCCATACTGATTCAATTAAGACCATCATATAAGAAGTATCCTCGCAGAAACACACAGTGCTAATACCTGGAGCCTCGTGGTCAATTATTAGACCAAACAAACAGAAACATATAATTTTTATCACTTCAAGTGTTATTTTTCTAATGCAGCATCATAACTGGATATTGGACGAGCCGAAACTGCTAGGCCATTAATGACAGCATTCAAATTATTTCATGTATTTCTTAACAATTACTTAAAATTTTATGATTTAGTCAGTTATTTTCTTTATAGACAGTCTCTAATTACGTTTATGGTACTTTAACAAACTTCCTTCGTGTTTAGCCTAGCGTATGAAGTTCATTTTTTCTGTTTTATTCCTTTTTTTTTCTTCTCTTTTTGGTATACGACTCACTCAGTTCATCTTGCGACTCACATCATTGGTTAATTTATCACAGCGCCGGAACTAGTAGTTTTTGCTTTGATAAGTCTATCAGCTTTGCTACCCGTTTTATTTTTGCTCATTTTTTTGTATCTGATGGAAAAGGAAACGAATTTTAAAAGTTCTTGAGCCTTTTGGATACGTTTTTTTTCCTGTTGTGATTGTTTTCTAATGATCAAGATTGCTGTAATAATTCTCTAGTGATCAAGATAAAATCTCACTTAATGGAGTGATCCAGGTTACTATCTTACTTAAAAGAGTGATCTAGATATTATCTTACTTAATGGAGCAATCTAGATGCTCTCTTGTCTAATGGAATGATCCAGGTACTATCTTAATTAATGGAGTGATCCAAGTACTATCTTAATTAATGGAGTGATCTAAGTACTATCTTACTTATTAGAGTGATTCAGGTACTATCTTAATAAATGAAGTGATTCAGATACTATTTTACTTAATAGAGTGATTCAGGTACTATCTTATTTAATAGAGTGATCAAGGTACTATCTTACTTATTAGAGTGATTCAGGTACTATCTTAATTAATGGAGTGATCCAAGTACTATCTTAATAAATGAAGTGATTCAGATACTATTTTACTTAATAGAGTGATTCAGGTACTATCTTATTTAATAGAGTGATCCAGGTACTATCTTACTTAATGGAGTGATTCAGGTACTATCTTATTTAATATAGTGATCCAGGTACTATCTTACTTAATAGAGTGATCCAGGTACTATCTTACTTATTAGAGTGATTCAGGTATTATCTTAATTAATGGAGTGATACAGGTACTATCTTAATAAATGAAGTGATCCAGATACTATTTTACTTAATAGAGTGATTCAGGTACTATCTTATTTAATAGAGTGATCCAGGTACTATCTTACTTAATGGAGTGATCCAGGTACTATCTTACTTATTAGAGTGATTCAGGTACTATCTTAATTAATGGAGTGATCCAGATACTATCTTAATAAATGAAGTGATTCAGATGCTATTTTACTTAATAGAGTGATTCAGGTACTATCTTATTTAATAAAGTGATCCAGGTACTATCGTATTTAATGAACTTTATTACTTCAACAGTTTTATTAAGAACTGTCACGGTTTTTCTGTGTTAAAATACCTTTTCTGTCATCATCTCGTTTTTAACAAGTTTAGATTGTCTGCCACCTCATCTCTCAGTTACTGATATAATCTCAAGTATGGTATAGATATTAACATCATAACACAACAATGGTATATTTGTGTTGATTGAGTGGAGAAACCTTGTGTGTTGATGTTTTCGAATTTTATCAAATTAATTGGACAATATATCATCGTGCTGCGCTCTATTGAAGTCAGGTTCCTTACTCGAATAAGGAATTCCCAGAATAATATAATTTGGGAAAACGGATGTCTGTCCGTAGGGTTTGCACTTAGCTGAACCATTTTTTTTTCTCACTGTCAGCTCTACGTGGCTATATTCAGGGCACGTTCAGTCAATTTGTTAAAAACTTATATCCCTGAAGGTACAAATATTGAAAATGCTGTTCACAAGGAAGTTTTAGAAACAACTTTTCCAATACGAATTCGATAGCGCTTAGTTTTAAATCGTGGCTGGAAATACCACAACTTTACACATCTCGTCGAACTTCAACACGTTCTTCTAACACTATTATATCACTTGGGAAAACAAATGTCTGTCCACCCATTGCGTATGAATATAAAGAGGAAGAAGAGAAAAAGAAATATAGCAAAATACAATTATATGTATAGGTGTAAGGCCTACTAAGAGAGACTCCTATGGATGCATGTTAATTTCTGTGTTGTTAAAATTTAACAAAAAAAAAAAACTTTTTTTTTCTACTGTAAAATTCTTAAATCAAAAATTTCAGGTAATGCTGTAGTATCAAAATGATTTTTAAAAGCCAATTTTCACAGTATTGCTTATGTCGTTTTATGCTATTAAACCATGTTACATTTTTTTATTTTTCAAAAAATGCCCGTGTAATAAGCATGTTTAAACATGTTTTATATTTATTTGAGTTTCGAATATAGTTGCTGGGCAATTTTCTAAAATATTCTTTACAAATTCAAGTTCTAAGAATCCTGTTAACAAGTGCAAAAACATGGATAGCCAATAAAAACGTTTGAAGGTGGGGTGAGAACTCACACTATCATCATTGAAAGAGATTATTTTTAGTTTGTTTGTTTTTGAATTTCACGCAAAGCTACTCGATAGCTGTCCCTAATTTAGCAGTGAAAGACTAGAGGGAAGGCAGCTAGTCATCACCACCCACCGCCAACTCTTGGG